GAAAATGATCTGGACCTTTGGGTGAGGGTTTTTCTTTATGAAATTTTCAGATTTAACAAGGGCTCAGGATAGGTTTATATTTGTATGACAGTATTTCCCAGCACACAATTTAATATAATCACTTATATAAATGGTTTTCCAACACAATACTGGGGTATGCCTTTATAGTTGCTCAGACTTGGTGGTAGTAATAAAATTCATTTCTCCTGCTCTGTTAACAGGATTCAAGACTAATGAGTACCATGTTATTGATGTAGYCTTTATTGTCCCATTTTATTAATCCTCTATTTGATTATTCATGTAATATTAAACATGGTTCTTTGCATCAACAACCATTTGCTAAGTACTTATTTCCCAGGCATTTTTATGGGGTGCTTCAGGAAAATATCATGTCATGTATGATATTTTTCCTCAAGTCTTCTCATAGCCTGAAGTTGGGAGAAAGTTTGTGATCCATGCCAGCCAGTGTAGTGTCCTAGTTAACAATACAATAAAGGTAAAGACCAGGTACTCAGACAATAAATTGGCCTATGTTTCTCAAAAAGAAAATCTTTTCCAGGACAATGACACTGTATTTTGAAAGAGTCATCAAATTTTTCCAAAAAAAGGGAGACAAATGTAATGAGAATGAGATATGTCACCTATATTGAAAGGAACCTTGAATGGCATACAGCTGAACTTCAAATTTTATCCTGAATGCAATGAAAAAAAAATCACTGGAAACTTTAAACAAAAGAGAGATGGGGTTTGCCTTTTAGGGAAATCTCTTTAATGACCTTGGGAAGAGTACATAAAAGAGAAACCAACAGGTGGCAGGGAGCTTAGAAAGGAGAATTTTGGAATAATATAAGCTAGAAAGTTGTTGTTAAGGCACCTGGCTAGATGATAACATGGAATATTGGCTAAAAGCTAGAACCCTGTTCAAGAGACTTGGGAACTCAAATGCATCTAATATCTTTTTTGACATTTAAATGTTCAAAAGTTGTATTGAACAGTCTCATTCAGTTAAATGAAAATGAATCCAGTTGGGTTAATAGAACTTAAAGGATATTTGTGGTGTGTGACAAGAACTCACAATTCAGGAATAGAACTCTCTTTGTGACCCCCTGGTCACTCTCCCCTTCATAGTTTGCTCTTCACATCTATTCCATTCTCTTCTCTCTTTCACTCCATCTCTCTTGACACAATTTCTACCTCCTCATAATGTCTTCTTGTCCATAGCCATCATGGATTCTCAGGCTTCGTACTATATAACAAATATTTTCTCCTACTGAGTGGGAAACTCTCTCAGTGCCCCCTGGGCCACATTGCCAATGAGAAATATGGATGGCTCTACTCATCTCTGCTCCTCTGACCGCACCATATTTCCATAGCTTCCTCTGCAGCACTTTGGCTGGCTCCAGGTTTGGAGTGATAGCATAGAGGGAGACAATGGAGGATAAGAGATAAAGAAATTATCTTTAGAAGGGATATGGAAATGCCTCATGCTAGCTACAATGAGAGTGGGATTCAGCAGACAACTTCAAGTGAGTGTTAGGAATTCAAATAAGTTGAATGTAATGAATCATTAAATATGAAAAACAATGTGAGCCCCTGACTAACTAATAGGCCATCTACCCAAAGAATGAAAAGAAGAAGAAAGATCTTGGGATGAATACAATTTTGGACTTGTAAATTAATTTTGCAGAATCCCAATAGGTAACTATATAAGCTGTTTGGCTTTCAAGAGATATTTGGATTAGAGAGCACCATTTATTACCACTCTGTTTTTTGGCTTCTGAAATATACTATTATTTTATTCTTTCTCATTGCCTCTTCTTCTTTCTCTTCTTTTGCATATTTTTCCTTTATGTGATTTTATTTGAAGGTCACATGTTTCTAGAAGCCCAGTTCTGGCTTCTCTTTGTTTTTTCTATATACTGTCTCCTAGATAATCTCACTAAATTGTAAATTATAAACACCATATTTATACTATAACTTCAAAATTGTTGTCTTCACCCAGGTACATCCAGTTGATTACATGATTTATGTAGATATCATGCTGACATCTCAAACTCTTGATTTGAACCCACCTCCATTCATCTTTGTCTTATTGAATAACACTCTGATTCTCTTGTCTACACAAACCAGAACTTGAGAATCATCCTTGATATTATCTTTGTTTACTCCCCTCTGCCAGTCCCCCAGAAATGCCTATAATTTCATCTCTATAATATATCATGAATTCATTTTTTCTTCTACACCTCAATTTATGCAACTTTAGTTCAAACTATGATTGATGAACATTCTAATGCAACTATTCAATGATTTTGTCTTTGTTTTAAAACAACATTCAAACTCCTGTAAAGGTTATCTGATCTTTACCTCTATCCATACTCTAYACTCCTATCATACTATGTTCTAGTCACATAACAAACTTCTTCTCATGACAGCATATGTTCTTGATACTTCCCTCATCAAAAACAACCTTCACTGAGCTGGAGCCTTTGAATGATACAAGTCCACAATTGAATAGGAGGATCATTTCTGTGTCCACTATAAAGTAGCCCCCATCCCATCCATCTCCATTCATGTCCTTTTTCTGTTTTTAAATACTTATTCCTCTGGGGGTATCTTCATTTATTTGTTTACTTATTTAAGGCTGGTTTTCCCACACCCATCCATTAGAATCTAAGCTTTAGGAGATAGAGATGCTGCTCTCCTTGTTCACTCCCATACCTCTGGCATCTGCAGCAGCACTTGGTATATGTATTATAGAGGTTGTTGAATGAGTGATTCAGTTAATTAGTTCTTGCAAAAGAAACTTGACACGTCTTTTAATTTCTTCCTACAGTAATTCACCAGTAAAGTCACCATTTGAAAATATAAAACTGATTGTATCCTTTTATAATTTAATCTCTGATGGTTTCCTATTGCACTCAAATTAAAATCAGACCCATAGGTTGGTTATCAGTGCCATCCTCCTTGCTCATTACTGTCCACTAATCTTTCACTTCCTTGATAACTAATTCTCTTCTGCTTGGTCACTTTTCCTGACATTCTTTGCATAAATACTTTTTTTTCTTTAGATTTTTTTTTTTTTTGTACCAGGGATTGAACTCAGAGACACTCAACTTCTGAGCCACATCTACCCTATTTTGTATTTTATTTAGAGACAGGTTCTCATTGAGTTGCTTAGTGCCTCGATTTTGCTAAGGATGGCTTTGAACTCACAATCCTCTTGTGAGTTCAGCCTCCCAAGCCACTGGAATTACAGGTGTGTGCCACCCCACCCGGCTGGAATATTATTTTTTTAGAGAGATTTTTCCCTGACCTTAAATTAAGACCCTCTATTTTTTTTCTTTTTCTCAGTTTAGGGTATGTTTCTTCATAGCACTTATTAGTTTTTCTGTTGTTGGAATTATATATATGTGCATTTGGTTTCAGTCTGCCTCTTCATGTAGGATGATCATGGTGGAGATTCAGTCTTTCTCTCTTTAGTATTCTTAGTATCTAACATGATTCTTGGAATACTGAGACACTCAACATTTTACTGTAAATTATATCAAATGGTAATAGAACGTCTTAGAAAATAAATGAGATTTCCCATGGTTTCAAACTCAAGAGTCCTCATTAAATCCAGGCTGAAGATGTGGAGTTTGGTTTTAGTTTTGTTTTGTGTTGTTTTAGGGCAGTTTGAGAATTTTAAATGTCTTTGAGGTGTGACTTGAATGCTTCCGTATATGTAGTCCTCATCCAAGAGTGGTACTTAAATATTTTAAAATAAAGCAAGACCTTACGTTAGTTAGTAAGGACATAGGAACTCCTACTTTACCAAATATTAACCCGAGGAGAGGTTAGTAATTCAATAGGTTGTTGGATCTTTCAAAAAAACTAAGTGGTCAGAGAAGAGAGAGAGGAGCCTTTGGGGCAATGGATATTTACTGATTTTCATAAAAATGTCCAATATTAGTGAAGATACTCCAATCCTGCCATCTCTAACTTAGCCCTTGTAGGCATCTAAGTTTGTGATTCCTTCCGTTATAGAGAAAGAAAAAATGAGAGCAAGGAACAGAGTCTCTGACAAAATAAGTTCAGAAAAGAGCACTGCAGAAGATAGAGAGGAACCAAGAGAAAATGGCTCTCTAGCTGCTTAGGGAGGAAAGTGCACTACAATATACTGTCAATTCTGTCAGTAGATAAAGGTGAAGAACTGTTTGGAGGGCCTTGAGGGCTCCAAGAAGAAAAGAAGTTTTAATGCACTATTGGGTATGAAATCAGCTTTCAGTGGAGGGAGAACTGGTTGGAGACAACTGGATGAGCATACTGTGAAGGACGTGGTGCTCAATTGTGCTGGGGACGTGAGGCAGGAGTAGACATGTCATCTGCAGAGAATTTCCAAGCAGCAATACAACTGACTGAAGTTGGCCTGCTCTTGAGTGTTATCATGCACTGGCAATTCTGCACAGGTTAGGGTTTAAATTGTCCTCCCCTCAGTTACCACTCTTATAGAGAGGGATAGTTTACAGCTGAAAGAGGGCAGAATCAGAGGAGGATGGTTTATAAGACTAGAGAGACTTGTGACTTTTTACATAATAAAAGGAAGAGGTCAGCTCAGAGGAAATGCTTCAACAGAAAAGACATAATCATTAAAGCAATTTGAGGACACACAGAATGAACAAAACCCAGGGATGACTTAGCTTTGAAGAAAAATAGGGGATCTAATTCCCAGGGGCAGAATCCTGGATCTGTGACTCAGAATTATGTCTTTAGTACTAGTTGTAAATTTATTTTATTTTTTAAATGAATGCAATTTTGAATATATTACTGTGTAATTATTCATTATATCTGTTTTTGAAAATAACATTGGTGTTTCAAAAATAACATCAATATTGTAGACATGACTGCTACGAACATATTTCAAAGATTCCATGCAAATAACTTAAATGCATTGTGCTAATAGAGATATTCTAATCTGACATTCAATTAATGCATTCTGCATTTGCACTTATTTCATACAGGTAACAAATATTGGGTATTCAAGGACACAACTCTTCAACCTGGTTACCCTCATGACTTGATTACTCTCGGAAGTGGAATTCCCCCCCATGGTATTGACTCAGCCATTTGGTGGGAGGACGTTGGGAAAACCTATTTCTTCAAAGGGGACAGGTCAGTACACACATCACATAGGAAAGAGTTAATGAATGTTTCCAGAAGTCAATGTTTCTGGTCTATCATAGGCAAGCGCTGTTGATAACGAATCTGTGTGGCTATAAACACAAGTTAATGCAGTAGAAAATATTTTAAAATACATTTTAAATAATATAATATTTAAGATAAATCACTATATAATGAACTAATGTGACTTTCTTATGATGTAYTTTTTTAAAATTTTTCTTTCTAATACATTTTTAAATTTATTTTTTATTAGTTCTAATCAGTTATACATGACAGCAGAAAGCTTTTTAATTCATTGTACACAAATGGAGCACAACTTTTCATTTCTCTGGTTGTACACGATGTAGTATCTATTGTACCACATGTGTTGTCATATATATACCTAGGGTAATGATATTCATCTCATTCTACTGTCTTTCCTACTTCTGTGCCCCCTCCCCTTTGCCCCCTCAAAATTCTTCCATTCCCCCCACATCCCCTCATTATGGATCAGCCTACTTATTATGGTGTATATTTCTACAATATATATTCTTTCTTTTCTCCATGTTCTTTGCATGCTTATAAAGCTACATAGGCAGTGAATATATGTGTCCTTATAGTACATTTTCTTATAATTTTACTACATCTAGGAAAAAAATACTTCTTAGTACAAGCTTTGTGTGTCCTTACACTCAATGTTAAATGGTTACCCTTCACACACAGTTAATTGTGACCATGTTCAAATAATTTCAGTTTACTCACAGGTATTCCCTTAGAAGCCATTTATTAAGTTACCAACAAGCAGGTGCTGTGAACWATTAACAAGCTATCACTGCAGTAGATACTGTTAGCGTATAACATCCCTTCCTGGCAACTTTATTCTTCTCCTTTTTCCTGTGACATCACTAACAGGATTCATAATTTTTTTTATAACTAAATTGTTAGCCTTATAACTCACAGTAGCTATCAAGTATACATAGCTCCACCCCTGTCCATTCTTTGACATATATTACATATAAAATATATGAAGACTGTTTTTATTAATTTAAATAAATACTAAGTAGAAAAAGTAATGAAGATGAAAACTCAAATTTCAACTAAATTGTTACTAACTGGGTAACAATATGAAAGCACTAATTAGCCCTCACTGGTTTGTAGGACTTACGTATGCCATTGGGCTGCCTTTTCTAAGCACATTATAAAGAATATACAGGCTTTAATGTCTTATGTGCTCCTAAAGAGTTTGCCTGATTACCCTGGCATAAAATACCCCTGTTTGTTATCCCCAGCTTTAAGAGAAAAATAACTAAGGATATAAATATGTTTATTTAAAATTTATGATTTTTAATTGTGAATGATTTCAGACATTGAGTTTTATCTGTGATGAAATCCTATAATTGGCCTCCATGTGTAAGAATGTAAACTTTTGAGTTTATTCTGTTTTCAACTTTTACGTATATTATATTTCTATAACAAAATATCCATAGATTTTAATTCATGAAAATATAGTCAAGGCCTTTCTAAAACACTTCTTAGTAAATCACAAACAAAAGGATTCTGCATAGAGATGTTTGCTAGACCCACAAAAAGCATAATGACTCTCAAYAGTATATAAGTATAATATAATAGAAGAGAAAAAATGAAGTACTTATTGCCACAGAATAATGACCACTAAATAAAATAAATGTGCAGACTTATATTCTTTAAAACATTATAACCCTTGAGGTTGTTTAATTCTCTAGTTTTGATTATTTATATATACTCTTTCAGGACTAGGCATAGGACAGAAGGCTGAGAAGATATGTTGGAGAGATTGGTTTTCAGACACAGAAGGAGAGTTTAGCTTTTGGGCTCTGGATGTAGCACAGTGGTAAAGATTGCCTAGCATGCACAAGGCCCWGRGTTCAATCTTCAATATGGGTTAGAGAGTTTCATACATAACATTAAAAGTTACCATTTAATTATCAGATAGTTCTTTTTCCTATATATGCCAGAAATATTTTTTAAATCTTTTTCCCCTTCTAAAAATTTAGTTCTTATTAGAAAAATTTTACTTTACAGATAAATACTAGTTATTAGTAATAATATTAAATTAATTTGAGAGATACCTCAAATTCATGAAATCAGTTTAGATTTAATACCAAATTTATAATAAAGATTGTTAATAAATGAGAAAACGGTTTCAGTTCATTTCCTTCCTACTTCAAACACTTTTTGTAAGATAGAGCAAAGTGTATGAATATACTCTTATTACTTGTGTTTTATTTAAATCACTRTGATTTTATAGGCTTTAAAAATATTGAAAGTAGGATTCCATATAATTTCCAGGCATATGATCTGATGTATCATGAATTATAGGTGATACATATTTATATAATTATATAATTCCAGAGTCATAACATTTATCAATACATTCATTCTAGATTTATGACCCTACCTAATTGTGCCTAGCTGCCTGCAGTGACAATATGACTATAAGGCAATCAATTCCATTTTCAATAACTTTAATGTCTGCTTCCTTCAGATGTCTGTACCAGTCCTCGCCTAGCCCTCATTAATTCATTCAAAATTTATTTTTCAAAACATACTATATCACATGTGCTAGACAATAAAGATAGATAATATTTAAAACTACAAGGCTTCCCATGGCTCTTACATTCTGTTGGAGTAAAAAAAAAAATAATGACCTTAATGGTTTTTACATTGAGAAATGTTACAAAGAAGTATGGCAAGGTTTTTAGGGATAGAGATTCATTGGAGATAAGGAGTAATTAGGAAGTAGTGGAAGTTGGAGAGGAACTCACTTGTGAATGGCACACCTGAGGGGTACCTGAAGAGGGACAGGTTTTAGCTATATGAAACTATTCAGACCAATGTGTCATGGACAGATAAATAGTTGTGCTAAGGACATGAAAATAGGACATTCAAAAATAGAAGAAAGCATTGTGGTTAGAGCATAGCCATTAAGTGGTCAGAAGAGGTCAAGCAGGTCAGTAGAGATCCAGTGGCACAGTGTCCTGGAGGTGATCGGGAAGACTTTGTACTGAGTACAATGGAAAGGCAGTATAGATTTTCAGGAGCACAATGACTTGATTTTATGTGTGTCCCTAAAGGTCATTCTGGCTGCTGTGAAGAATGGGCTTCCAGAGTGGAAGTAAGAAGGGTACTTGGGAGACCATTGGACAGGCAGAGAGGACAGTAGCAGTGGAGGTGAAGCAAAAGAGATAGATGAAGGATTCCTTTTGAATGTAATCATAATAATCTATTCTTATGCCTTGGATCTCAGGGGACATGAAACAATTTCTAGGATCTTCACCCAAAAATTGAGTAGTGAAATTTCTGGAGAAAAAGGAGACAAGGAAAAGAATATTGGGGGGGGGGAGAGATGAAGAGATTGAAATGTCCATGTTCAATCTGAAGCATCTATTTGAAAACCAAATGAGCGGAATCAAGTAGGCAGTTGGATAATTCGAGTTTGACTCTGAATGGAAAAGTCAGTGGGAGGCACAGATTTGGGAGTAATTGACATATAAAAGGTATTGAAAGCAGAGGTCCCCATGAAATCTTTTAAGAATGGAAATAATCAAGAGTAGAGGAAATGGTGGTTCTTTAAATAGATCTGTAAATGCAGATTAAAATATCTACTCTTTCACTACTTCACATACAGCATGGAACTCGGTCCCTCAGATTCCTGCTTGCCCTTTTCATAATAGACTATAATTTGGTACTTGGATACATTTTGGTCTTCATAGCATTTAGCTCTAAAATGCTATGTTTCTAAATCACTTCTTAGCATCTTCTCACAAATAAATTCCAAGATTCTAGTGTGATACAGCATTCGAAGTTCAACTATTGAGAAGTGTAAAATCATATTTTTTAAAAGACAAAATTCTGGCCCACCTTGGAATTTTTTAAATTGCCACTAATAGTCAAATAGAAAAATACTTCCAGCTTAAATTGTGTTTRTGAATTAATTACTTTATGTATATTTAAATCATTCAACAACATAGTAAAAAATGATATTTTCTGTTTTATCACATTTTAAGTATGTTTCTGAAGAGTATGATTATTTGGGTATGAAAAAAGAAGCATTCTATTATTTTGTGGTCATAAATCTTGAATCTGGGCAAAGAATTGCAACCATGTTGGATTTATTTTTTTTAATTTTTTATTCTAATTTGTTATATGACAGCAGAATGCATTACAATTCATATTACATATATAAAGCACAATTTTTCATATCTCTGGTTGTATGCAAAATATATTCACACCATTCATGTCTTCTYATACATGTTTAGGGTAATGATGTCCATGAGACCATGAGATGGACACCATGTTGGATTTAAAAAAAAAAAAAATCTGTCATGTGAAATGACCCTTGGGTCCACTTGAATTTAGTTTGGAATTCAGTATCCAGCAATATCTAAWTAAATTGTTTCACTACAGAAACTTCTATATAGTTTTATTTGTTAGCATAGAAAGCATTTTAAAAATTTACATCACATGAATAACTCTTTTCTCCTCATGATCAAGTCTAAAATCTGATTAATGAATCTTATTTCTTATCATAATTGTTTTAAAACATTAAGAATGCTTCTTTCAAAGAAACATCTAATTAAAATCAAAATTCTACAGTAGATCCCAGTGGTTCAGGAGGCTGAGGCAGGAGGATCACAAGTTCAAAGCCAACCTTAGCAACTTAGTAAGGCCCTAAGCAACTTATCAAGACTCTCTCTCAAAAAAAAACTTAAATGCTTGGGATATGGCTGAGTTGTTAAGTGCCCCTGGGTTCAGTTCCCAGTTTCAAATTAAAAAAAAAAAAATCTACAATACACATGACTGATGATCAGAATGAAAACGTATATGATGTTCATTTATAAACTCTTTCTCATTTATTGACCCTTCTGCACAAAATTCCAAATTTTATCCACTATAACATCTAAATTTTAAAGTCCTCAAGCAGTTTATTTAAAGAGTTCTAGCCTGAATATGCTATTTCTTTTTTAACCAATCCATAAACTTATTTTTCTGGGAGGAAAATATCAGCAGGTTGAGCTTTTTTGTTAATGTTGGAAAATGTTCAAATATGTGAAAATTAAAACCCAAACCTTTATTTAACAAGCCCCAGTACCTTTAGCAAGACAACCCTGAAAATAGTTAAGCATTTCTAATCACATTCCAGTCTACTGGATATTCACAAAGCTGACACACAGCAGGCAACCTRAGGGTTCAAGCCTACACTGAGATTCTCAGATTGCAAAGTGATCCCCTATTCTAATTTTACATTATCTGCTGGGAAAGAGAAAATTCATTTATTTTGTAAATTTATACCAGAATTATGTGGCTATAAAAGAATCTAATAAAWCTCACATTCCATAGATATTTTCTTGAAACGTACATTCTATGAATCTTATGTGTCTGGCATACAATGGAGAGGCTCAAAAAGTTCTTTCCTGACACATGTGAGGCATTGGGTTCAATCCTCAGCATCACATAAAAATAAATAAATATATGATAGATAGATAGATAGATAGATAGATAGATAGATAGATAGATAGATAAAAGTATTGTGTCCATCTTCAACTTAAAAAAAAAAAAGTATCAGTGGGTGAGAGTTATCTAAGAGAGAATAGAAAAAGGAAGGAAGGAAAATTATACATAACAACTATACCTCAACAGTAAGAGTGAAAAGTAAATATATTATCAGGATGCTATATGCCATGAGAGTTACTAGCAGCAACAAGGTTGAAAACATACTGAACTATGAACCAAAGAGGGCTCATTTGAATTTCAGCTCTTCCATAACACAGCAGAGCAAAGGTAAATAAGTCACTTATCTTCAAATAAAATGATGCCCAGTGCTGTGACACTGACTGAGCAACAATATACACTATAGTTATAGTTAGGACATTTTTATAGAGAATATTATAGTATAAAGATTGTTGAGGGAGTTAAGGGAAATCAAATAATAGAGTGTATTATATAAATTTGCTTTATGGGCACAAAACACAACATAAAATATAGATATTATTACATAAAGAATAATATGACTACTTCTCAGAAACTGGTTTCTAAGTATGTAGTAATGTTACTAAATGACTGCATCATACCAGGATTTTAAATTATTCCAAAATTCAACCATTTCAAACTGACTTTAACTTATATTTTATGTCATTTAATTATGCCATTTATTGTAAGGTATATCATTATTTAATCTATCATTGAAGGGAAACCCTTCCAAGTACATTCTTTTCCTTTTTTTCTGGGGGTAGGGGGTTAACAGTGATTGAACTCTGGGGCCCTATTTTGTATTTTATTTAGAGGCAGGGTCTCAGTGAGTTGCATAGTGCCTCACTTTTGCTGAGGCTGGCTTTGAACTCATGATCCTCCTGAGCCAGTGGGATTTCATGTGTGCACCCCCATGTCCTTCTTGCCAAGTACATTTTGATTCTGTAATACAACATGCATTCTGATTCCTAAAGATATAAAATGGGGGGGGAGCTATTATCCAAAAAATAAAGTATTTCCATATTTCCTTGTGAGAAGCTTTCTTTGGTTAAGTGAAAGAAGCCACTAACATATGTGTTGTAAATTCCATTGAAGTATTAACTAAAGAGGAGAGAACTTTATATTATAACCATAGTCTCAAACACAGTGACCATTCTGTAGTCATCACAGAATGTTCTACAGGAATGGAATATTCACAAATAATTCAAAATAAGATGTTTTAAAGAACAAAGTGTGAAAGAAACTGTATTTCAGGACTGGTAGCATGACATTCAAATAATTTTACTTCATTATCCAAGGAAGATAGGCACCTATCACCATTATTTCACCTCAGTGCTTCTCCATGAAGCTTTTTCTGATCTGCTCATCAGATCTGCTCTAGTTTGCCTGTGATGAGTACCTATGGCAAACAAGTGTGAGAGATTGTTTCCCTTTCTGGGTTAACACAGCTTTGTAGGTTACAAATGGGAACACTTCTTGAAGCAATGTATTCCTCATTTCCATGTGAACATTGAAGATGAAGGAGGTACTAATATTGCAAATATTATCTGAGTGAGTTTCTAGGTATTTATAACAAAACTTACTGCACAAAATCTGTAGATAAAGGATCCTCCATAAGAACTAGCACAGAAAAAAATTCAGAGTAGATTTTTTTTCTAATTTTAGGCAAAATGACTAATCCCAAGAAGAATTAAATCATGTCATTTACCAAACCTGGGTGGATAAAACCTAGATTTCAGGGCTGGGGATATATATGGCTCAAGTAGTAGTGTGCTCACCTAGTATGCATGAGGCACTGAGTTTGATTCTCAGCACCACATAAAAATAAAATGGGGATATTGTGTCCACCTAAAACTAAAAAATAAATATTAAAAAACCTACTAGATTTCATAGGTAATCATGGATGTTTAGTTGGGAGAAGGAGACATATCAAATAAATTGGGAAAATTTGGTGATATCAAGTAAATATGAAAATTATATTCATTGTGAAAAGAGTAAAGACTTTTGAAATCAGACAAACATGTTTATACATCTATCTGTCAATAATTCTCATTCATATAGGGACAGCAATTACTTTATCGTGGAATTTTGTGAATAAAGAAGATAATCCACAGAGTTTTGTGGCAATATTACTCTGAATTCCAGTAGTTTTGCCCCAAAATTATGACAATGTTTATTTAATATAAAAATATAAACTTGTTTTATTCTTAGAACATATAGACAATAATGAGTGATCCAAAGTAGGGATATTCATTTTCTTTCATAGAAGTCTAGGGGTTCTGGAAAAATGGCTTGAGGGCACCCTGTGAAAGAACAGGAGCCAGATGGTTCTGACTCTAGCTGAGCTTTGCTTTACTATTTTACTACCTTGACTCCATTCAAGATCTGTCCTAAAGTCTATGCTCATATACACAATTTTCTTATCTATAATTTCACTTTGATGTCTGAATTCAACACCCTAACTCTCAGGATTCAGACTGCCATCACATATTTTTCCTTGCTTTCTTAGGGCAACAGTAATCTTCCAGATTATCAGGCCCAGAGATCTAAGGTCACGTTTAATTTCCTTCTTTCTCACATTTCAAATCCGATTCATCACTAAGTCCTTTGGTCTCTTTCTTTAAAATATATCCCCAATCTGTTAAATTATCATCGGCTCGGCTCTATAACTGACTCCTCATTTCAAGGCTTATTGCAATGACTTCTTAACTAGTATCTCTGCTTCTGCTTTATCTCTTTCAACTCCTTTTGCATGAAGCAATCAGCATATTCTTTTCAAGAATTAGTCATCTCTTGAAACATCTCTACTCAAAGTATATATTTTCATATCCCTTAGAGGAAAACCGAAGGTTTTATGTGGTGTAAAGACCTATCTCACCTTAGATTCGGGTTCCTGCTCAGACTTTGTGTCTAAACACCCTCGCTTCCTGGTACATGCTCAAGTACTCCATGCCTGTACTTTCCACAGGAACTTCACCTCCTCTGCCTGCAGTGTTCTCTAAATACTAAAATGTGTTGTTCCTCACTTTTCTCTGCTCAAATGTTAGCTTATCAAAGAGGTCTTTTCTTTCTACTAGTTTAAAAATGGCTTCTACATATTCCTAGATAACTCTATCTGCCTTGTTTTTTTTTCTTCATAGCTCTTACCATCTTCAATCATTGCATGCATTTTTTGATAATTGGTTTATTGTCTTTATACTCACATATCCTAAAATCTAAGATCAAGGAGACCTGGGGCACATCTGTTTTGTTCAAGGTTGTGTTTCTTAAAAAAATCAAGATTCAGTATGTGCGCACACTTGTGAGCACACACACACACATGGGTTTGTGATCCCTTATGAATTGCAAATATACTTAGGTAGAATAATATAGTTAGCATTTTTATGAATTTTAGCAGACTGAATAAATGCTAATTTTAACATATACAGGATATGCATAGTAATATATACATTTTAACATATGCAGGATATGTATAATAATAAACACATCTTTAACATATGCAGGAAAGGAAATAGAATAAATACCTTATGCCCCCTGTGTCTTCAGATGTTCCATAAATCACTTACAGGTATATAGGGAATAGTGTCAAACATACAGCAATAATTTAATGAATGATAACTGTAACTATTTGTTTTTTTTGTATGTGTGTATATATATATTTTTTTTCCTTTGTGTGTGTTGTTATGTTGTCCTTTTTAGGTATTGGAGATATAGTGAAGAAATGAAAACCATGGACCCTGGCTATCCCAAGCCAATCACAGTCTGGAAAGGGATCCCTGAATCTCCTCAGGGAGCCTTTGTGCACAAAGAAAATGGTATGCAAGATGTGCATTRCACATTTCTTAAGTTTCCTAACTATTGTAGTAACACACTGTTCTTTTTCATTATGTTAAATCACTGGGAGATGCCATACTTCAGCTATGTAATATTTATATAAACTTTCCTCTTAGATTAATATTTAGTATTATGCTGTACTTTTTAATCTCAACTTACTTAATTTTGTGAAGAATCATTAGAAAGATACACAGTTAATATTTTAACATGGGGCAGTTTAGATACCTTTGAATTAAACTGACCTATATGTCTATTAACATCTCTGTAAAGATAATAATAAGAAAATATGTGGGATAGGAACTGGCCTTGAGAGGAAGAGATTAGTATAGACCGAAGAACAAAGCACCTAATAATAATGCAAGTTGAATATTATAATTTTTATTTGCTGCTTGCTTAGAGTGTTAGCAAACAAGCAAGATCTTCATTCAGTACAGTCAGACTAGAGAGATTATATAATGACTTCATACAAAATCAAAAGGTAAGCTATGTACATGACATTTGATAACCAGAAAATCCAAGATAATGGGATGCTGAAACAATGCCTCTACTTCACTCTTCCACCATTATATAAATCCATTGTTGTAGGAATCCTCCTTCAACAGTCAATTTTTTTAAAAGTCCACAGGCTCAAAATTAAGCTGTAAATGTTTATGCCTTTTACATTGAAGTGAAATATGCCTACCTATTGATACTAATTCTGCCATCTTGGCCAATGAAATGTGAGTATCTGATGCCATTGAATGTCTTCTCTGTTATTAGGATTGCTACATAAATTCATTATATCAAATTTAATTGTCCTACATAAGTACCTCTTTACCAACACTAAACTCGTTCAAATAACTTATCCCTGATTGTAAAATTTGTAAGATATGTACTTAAGTCTTGAAACTAAGGACATTTTAGCCCCAATAAATATGATTTAATGCACTGTCTCCAAAGAGGAAACATTAATGTGGTTTTTTTTTTACATTGTTTTGCTAAAGTAACTGGCCATCTGTTATATCTGGTTAAATTTTTCATTTGGTCATACTAGACAAACCCAGGTTTCCTGAGATTGTCACTTCCTAAGCCATCCTCCTTCCGGTTTTCCCTATAACCATCTTAACAATTTTTATTTCTTCTTTTTTCCTCTTCACTTTTAGTTCCCTAAAATAACCGCAATAGTTCAAATTAGATTTGACTCTTTCAGAATACGGTGGAATGATTTTTTAACATAGATTACATCACAGTGTTTTTCACACAGCAGCATTGGTTTTTAACTGTAATAAAATCATAGTAAAGAATCAACCCCTCCTTCAAATTATTCCTACATTTGTTGTCAAGTCACACTTTTCGAATATTCTATTTTTTCTCTTTGGAATTCACTTTTGAAAGAGACACAAAATTCCAATTTTAATAATCATATTTTGTTTTACCATTTGCAGCCCCGTGTTTGGCCTATTAACATAGTTTTGTCCCCTGGTTCCGTCAGTTTGGTGTATTTATTCTTCCCCTCAACACTCACTCTCTGTTAAAATACCACAAGTTTGATTTAAACAAACATTTCCACAGGAGTCAGTTTATTCACAAATATTTACCAAACACTTAACTGCCTACCAATAAACATGTAAAAGCCCAAAATAGGACATAGAGGCACTGCCATTGGAGAACATCCATTCACCACTACAACTGCAATGAACTGTCATTACATTTTTAGGATGAAGCAATAGAAAACTAACTAGTGAGATCTGGCCAAACATAAAAGAAAGAAGCATCATCAAAGTATCCATTGCAACCTCACTGATTTCTTTCTGAAAATTTTAATTCTTATCATATGCAGGAGCATGACATCAGAGCTGTTTTTAAAACAGAAAAAGATATAATTAACTAAACATTTCCTCAACTAATTGACATTTCAGAAGTGAAAAAGGTAAACCTAAATTACTGAGCGAGATAGATTTTACAGAATAAAGGTTTAGCATATTTCTATTACCAATATTCCAGTCTGCTTCTTTCCAACCATATTATTTAACAAACTCCTACAGACTAGATTCCTTATTTCTAACAATTGCTTTCAGTAACTACAAATTCTGTTCCTATATATGTAGTGTGTTACTATAAAATTTGGCTTTTAGAACTGATAAATATGAAATGCCCAGTAGCATAGATAGTAATTAGCTTTGGCTAAAAATTGAAGATGAGGACACTTCCAGCTGTTAGTTTCCAGTTTATAAACATAAGAAGTACGTTCATCTATTTTGAAGGTCTGTTTAATTCTAAATCAGTGCCATTGTTCAACTGTGATCATCTAATGTGCTGTTATTTGGCAGGCCTTCAACATTTCTTCATCCAAGCTTGTTGAGTAATTACACTGGATTTCATTAGTGCGATCAAATACCAGCTCCCTACAGAAAAATTTGAATCTACATACACCTGTTTTCACTTGGCAAGTTGCTCTGATTGCAGAACTGTCCTTCGAAACTAAAAGCCACAGCAGAATTTCATGGCTTTGAACAGAAAGACTTCCAAAAGGAAGTTGACCTGAAGTGATAGTCTATCCTTTCTGGAATTTTTTTGTGCAACATTGGAGTTCTTTATTTCAGGGCTGACATCTATTGCAACCTTTGATATTAAACCAACAACATCATTGAATGAGTGTTTAGACTTTATACGTATTAAAAAAAATTTAAATCCTGCTTTCACCACGATACATGTGTGTATGTGTATAGACATATATGTGTATATGCATATCATATATGTATATATTTTTAAAATCTACAACCCTCAATATCTTTGTCTGAAAAAAAATGAGTAGTAACTTCTACTTGACCAAGCAGTTGTGAGACTTAAAAGAGAGGACACATAATAAGTTTTTACACTTGTATCTCCCATAATTACACCATCAAATATTTCATTTTTTCTTAGTTTTATTGCAAAAACAAGAATTAAGTCCAAGTAGCACAGCCAAAGAAACTTGACATAAAGGAGCTATAGATAGAAGAAAAGAGTAGATATCTGCCTTTAAAAAATTAACAGCAAAGCATGGAGAATAATCCTAAATGCATACGTATAATTTATTTGTCAGGATCTCACAAAGTGAGCATCCAGAATGTTTTAGAACATGAATCATATATATTGCTGAGTTCTTTGAGCCTTCCACATACCGTTTCCTCCCCCAGGAATTGTAAGTTGCTTAGAAGTATCAAAGTTATAAATGTAGATTTGTTTATTCCTAAAAGGATTAATAAGGGCTTTTAAACACTCTATAAAATATAATTAGTTGACACAAATTTAACATAAACTAAGTACAAATAACTTAAACAACAGGGAAAAAAGAAGGGGAAAAACAGATGTGGCCTAAAGCCAAAAATGAGGTTAGCACACAAAATACTATGAATATCTATTTATTTGTTAAGATTTCTAGCAGGCAAAAGAAAACACCTCCAGTTTTATGATTTATAATGATTTCTTGTCCAAATGACAAAAGAAAACCTATTTTTTGGAGGAGTACAATGATGCCTGATACTAAGACGATAAGAAATTTCCCTGGAGGTGTGGAGAGGTGAGAAGCTGCTTTATAAAATGTATTGAACAGTGTCTTCTGTGGCAGCCTGAGGGTAAAACAGTGTTTCCATTTATAAGGCTGTTTCAGTGTCTTTCAGTATAGGTTGATGTCATCACACTAATGTGTGATTCTGTGCCAGCACACCATAAGCCAACAAAAGGATAAAGTTTTCTAGTGCAGAGGTGTAGACGTGACTTCCAGCTCGTCATCCTCCAGCATCCTCTGTAGATCAAATCTCTCTCTGCTGAGCTTTCCATGGGTATTAGAAGGCACAGTTCCTGGAGCACAACAGTTGAACTGAGGATAGGTTTTCTTCCTACGAAAATGGAAGGGTCTTAAAATACACCTTTTACAAATTAGCTTATGTCATTAGCATTCCTATACTTACAGACTTTCACCAATAAGTGGTATCTGTGTGTATGTGTGTTTTCCCCCTGCAGGCTTTACATATTTCTACAAAGGAAAGGAGTATTGGAAATTCAACAACCAGATACTCAAAGTAGAACCTGGATATCCGAGATCCATCCTCAAGGATTTTATGGGCTGTGATGGACCAACAGACAGAGATAAAGAAGGACACAGCCCGCCAGATGATGTAGACATTGTCATCAAACTGGACAACACAGCCAGCACTGTGAAAGCCATAGCTATTGTCATTCCCTGCATCTTGGCCTTATGCCTCCTTGTATTGGTTTACACTGTGTTCCAGTTCAAGAGGAAAGGAACACCCCGCCACATACTGTACTGTAAACGCTCTATGCAAGAGTGGGTGTGATGTAGGGTTTTTTTTCCCTTTCTTTCTTTTTCCAGGAGTTTGTGGTAACTTGAGATTCAAGACAAGAGCTGTTATGCTGTTTCCTAGCTAGGAGCAGGCTTGTGGCAGCCTGATTTGGGGCTGACCTTCCAAACCCAGAGGGTTGCTGGTCCTGCACATGAGTGGAAATACACTCATGGGAAAGCTTCCATGATGCACAGTATCTGCCGTTCTTCAGTCCTTTGTCTTTCTTTGTCATTCAGTTATAGGCCTTTCCTCTGCACGCTCAATGCCCAGTCAAATTTCAGGATTAACTAAAGAAGAGGAAAAAGAAAAAGAAGAAAAGATTCTTCTTAAAGGTTTTAAATATTATTTTCCTTCTGAAGTCTGAGCCCATTTGGGGGAGAGAGAGAGAAAAAAAAAAAGCAAAAGAGAAAAATCCACAATTTTTGCTTTAAAGCAAAGGAAAAAAAAATGTTTAAACAAAAAGTCCACAATTGAACTTTCAGGAAAGTGTGAAGACCCAAAACAGCTTTGTCTCCAAAGAAGATAGCTCTGTGACTGCTATGGATAATCTCCTGCGCATCATTTTGTCAGGTGGGAGATCTGGATACACAGGCAGGACTTTAGACTGTCGGGACAGCCATTTTCCAACAAACAAGGGGCCAAAATATCTGCAATATAGTAACAGCCTTAATAATACATCCATTTTTCGTTTTATACAGCTGTTCTCAGCTATGTCCTCAATGTTTCATCACATTTCTATTCATACCTATATTCAAAACAGGACCTTTGAATTGTTTTGAAGTGTTTCTAAACCCTCTCTTGCCACCTGACCCCTCTATCATTGTGATAATATCCCCAGGTTGTATTTAGGCCAATGCCCCAGGCCTTCCATGGGTCTGTCAGGAATATTCATTACAAAGCAGAGCAAGAAGTAGTATGTTTCTGAAGTAGATTAAAGTGACAGTTATTTTRCAAGGATTTGTAATTCTAGTAATATATTGGTGTAACCCTTTGAGAACTATCAGACCAGCTTTCAGAGTCTTAGGATTGTCAGTGTTGCTATGTGGTAAATTGTAGAACTGGCCAATGTTAAAAACAGTGATAGGTTCAAGAAGTTCCAGTTTTTAAAACATATCCCATAACCTCCTTGTAATTCTAAAACGATTTACAGTACTACATGAATACACTTATAACAAACAGCAATGATGTTACCTGCCCAAAATTTTCTGGCAAATAAAAAAGATATTTTGTTAACAGTATCTCCTAAGAGTGAAATTTTATTTGAATAACTGTTTATGGCAACCTAATTCTTTTTTTTTCCTTAGACATATTGAATTCTTGTTTTAAAATCCATTGCATGAGAATTCAATTTGCCTTGGTATACGCAGTTAGCATTGCCATTTTAAAAAATGAATTAAAATGATGACTCTGAGGTTGCATGAATATCCTCCATTGCATTACCTACTGCATGTCAACCATAGTTCTCAAAGGGTTAGTATGGCTTCTGGCATTTTGCCATCCATTTGATCACTGACAGAGCCAAGAGACCACCAAAGCATTTCATTGTTGAGTGTAATTTGTCCTAAGAGCAGTATTGTCATTTTCATGTGACCTGCAGAGCAGGTTTGTATCAATATTTTTTTCCTAGAGAAAAGTCAGCAACTGACAGACCTCTTTATTGATTTTTAGGAGCTGCTTCTTGCAGTGAAAGGCTTTACAGCCACTGGGCTGTGAACTTATTAGAGATGGTCAGGAGGAATGCACCCCATGAGTCAGACATTGGCTTTGTGTGAAAGCCAGCTTTTGAGGGGATTAGCTTTTGAAACAATGAACAGCTTGCCTTGAACTTGATTATTGATCTGTTGACTGTCATTAACAACAACTTAAACATTGTCTTCTGTGAAAATTTTCCTTGAAGAGTCCTGTTCTATGTCTTTGCCCTTTGACCTTTAACTTGCAAACTGGCACAAACTGAAGGGAATATGGTGTTGCTTCTCCATGGGATTGTTAATTGTTCTCTAAAACCTCTTCAACATGAGCTGTTTCCTTAGAGTGCAGAGAGAAAGAGTGTTGATGGTGGGTCTGCAGATGGACATTTTGTCTTTACATGCACACTCTAAAAATGCCCTATAGGTAGAAGTGGTTTTTAATTTCCTTTTCATATGATTTGAAGCCTAATTTCATCATTTTAGTATGAATTACAAAAAATATAGGAAAAAAAATAACCTCAAATACTTGAATGGCCAGTGTGGCTTTTATATAAAGCAGGAATTTTATACTAGTGAAAATTTCTTACTCATTTGCTAACAATACACATTTCCAGATGATTTTTAATGAGTGTAGGTATACATTCTTATTTGGAAATGGATAGTTTGGCTGCCTTGAATTTATATTTATACTCAACATAGCATGAAAATTAGAATGCCTTTTGGTTAAACTACGTGTTTATGATTTGGTTGGGGAAAATATTTTCTAATCATGGGTGGCATGCTGAAAAGCCTTGCAGATTGATATTTCTCATAATCTGAAAATATATACTGTAAGGCTAAAAGAAAAAGAACAGTTAGAAAAGAGGAATGGCTTTATAGCAAAACATTATGCAATGCAGACTATATTTTGACAAGATATCAAAGATGATGGATTTGAGGTCCCAGAAAGCAAGGAAAGAGGACCAGAATCAGCCCTATAGCTTTACTTCAGTGCTTCCATTCTAGATGATGCTGATATTATAAAAAGAGTTAGTCACTACTAAGCATGGAGGACTTTATACATAAGCTTGTTTGTACAGTGTTTGCTTGTGGGAGGGTTTAATTCTTTCAGGACCTTAATGTCAAGAGGAAAAAAAATGACTGGAAACTATATTTTGTGAAAGATAGAAATGAGGAACTTTGTCATTTTGGGACACATGCAAATCATTCAGGAACTCCATCAACCTGCATTGAAAAAAAAGTTTTTTCTCTAAAATGAGAAAGAAACGAAATAAGCAATCTATTGCCTCTTTACTCATTCATCACAATATCCTGATTCATCATGAGACTGTAAGTATATAAGGGCTAGAAAATAATCATAGCATTAAGGAAAGTCTATCATGCTTGAATTCTGGCAAATGTCAAGGATAAGGCTTGAGTCATATTTACTTGAATATAAGAAGGGGTTTATGTAATAAAAGAAGGTACATATGGCTGCTCTTTTGAGTAAGACATTGATCAGGCTGTAAGAACACAAGAGATAAGAAAATAATAAGTACAATATAATCACAAACACTGGGATTCCATTTTTTTATTATACACCAGGCACTTTGTAAGGTCTCTAACTCTTCTTCAGTTAAGATTTGGAAAAATATCAATTATAATAAAATAGTGAGAGTGACTAATTGATCTATCATATTAGAATAGTAATTCAAAAACCATATGGGATAAATTACCAACAACATTATGTATCAATCAGTCCAGTTCCAAAGAGACATGCAACCTAGGTAATATTTTTCATCTCATCCCTTAACAACTTGTAAAGCTCAGACCTACAGTTTCCTAAGTCAAATGAAAACCCACTTATTCTCACAAAAATATTCTTCTGTTTTGTTATTTCTCATTACTTTACCTATTATAAACACAGATGTAAACAAGATAATGTTCTTTATATAAAGTGTCTCTATAGTTTATAATTTTAGTCAAATATTATTGTTCTGTATATTATTAACTGGACAGAATGAAGTATTAAAAGAGCTGAGTAGCTTGTATTCTCTGAAGCAGAAATTCCACATCACCCTTGTAGAGAAGATTGTAAATTAAACTCTTGACCCGTTTTAGAACAAAGTATCTGCTGATATGGCATTGTTAGCCATTGAATACTGATGCTCTTTACAGTTGCAAGTGTTATATAACTAACTTAGAGAACATTATGTATTACTTGCAAAGACAACTTCTGTTATCAATCAGAAAGCAAGGCTTTTCTGAGTCAAATATAATAAATTACTAAGTAATGATTACCACAAAATAATTACTAAGTAATAAAGGATACAGACTAGTTTACTGAAATAAGCAAATGTTCCTCTTATTACTGAAATTTCCTATAATCTTTTTAAATTTACACATAATTTGGCTTTTCATATACTATATATTTGTTTTCACTTCCTTTCTGTGTGTGATTAAGAACACAATGTGTTTGCTAGGTGTGGTGGCGCATACCTGTAATCTCAGCAACTTGGGAGGCTGAAGCCTCTCAAGCGGTCTTCACAGCATTGAGGACAGCCTCAACAATTTAGTGAGTCCCTAAGCAACTTAGTGAGACACTGTCTCCAAATTTAAAGGGCTGGGGACATATGTAGCTCAGTGGTAAAGCACCATTGGGTAAAGCACTGTTGGGTTCAATCCCTAGTAACAAAAGAAAACAGAAAAACCTACACAAACACACAATGTGGTGGGTAAGAACATTGCCCAAACTTCTCTTGTAGTTCTAATACATGGATAATGTTGTATATACTGGATCCTAGGAATGGTAATGTAATACTTGCTAGTTCTCCATATTGTATTGCTATCTCTAGTATGGTGCAGATACCCATACTTTGTGGATCTTACAGTAGAATAACCAGTGTATTCATATTGACTAAACTCAATGTGCTGTCTAAAGAAGAATGAATGTTTTGATCAAATAGACTTGTTAAACAAGAGTCATGAAAAGGATCTCTTTTTTAAAAAGTTTTCAGAGTTATTTCCAGAAGCTAATAAAGGCAGTGATTCACTGACAGTCTTGAGTCTTTGAGATTCTAGTATGTTCTGGAACAACCTTGTAGATGGTGATGAGCTCTTTTCAGCAAACACAGCAAAAGTTTAATTTTTGATGCTCTTAAGAACAATCCTAAAGTATCACAGATGTCAAACAGAATATGCCATCTAAACAAAAAAAGTAAAATCAGCTGACATTACAAATGCTGTAAATACAATCTCAGCCAATATATGATATCACCGAAGGTGTCAATCAGCCATATTGGAGAATCTAACCATTCCACTGGATTTCATGAACCTTTGTGATACTGATTTATTGTGACCACAGGAAACACATGCTACAGCATATGTATCTAATTTATAGTTTCCATGTTGCCAGAAAAGGAAACATACCTGCATCAGAAAAGATTTAACAGTTACATTTTAAAAGTTAGAACTTCATATAAAAAGAAAATAGCAATCAGAGATAGTACCACACCATAAATA